AACCAACTGAGCTACCCAGGCGCCCTTTTTTTTTTTTTTTAACCTGTATCTTTTTAAAATAATCCTATTGTTGACTCCCAAGTACAGATGAACATAAGGATAAGGACAGTTTTCGCTTTTATATTGTAAATAAGATATATTTATAGTTACTTACAAATATTTGTAAATATTTACAAAAGTATTTATACTGGATATTTGTGGCCTCGTCCCAGGTGTATATAATAACTTAATGTATCTTTCCAAGGCAAAAGAGCGTGCCAATGGAATGGAGCTTGATGGACGTAGGATCAGAGTTGATTTCTCTATAACAAAAAGACCACATACCCCAACACCAGGAATTTACATGGGGAGACCTACCTAGTAAGTTTACTTTTAAGATAAAGATTGATGGCTGAGTGCATTTTTTCTAAGAACTACCATGTACCCGGGGAAAATTTTCGACATTTCATCCAGTCCTGCCACAGTACAAATCATTCTTCCTGTTTTTTTTTTTTTAACTGGGTAAGACTATTCAAAAGAATATATTCAATGGAAATCTTGTATTTGTGCTGCACACTGGTAGATGACATCCCACCATATCATACAGAAAGGCCATATATCTGGCTTTGCTTGGTAATTAATATTCTTGCTTAGACCATTTTTATCGTAATGGAATCTTAACCGTTCTAGGTAAAAGTCAAGTTTATAACAAATTCTACTCCTGTGCGTTTTTTAGTTTTTGTTAAGCAGAGTGGAAAACACAGTTTTCGCATTGAACTATATGATAGGATACTTCTTTTCCTTTGTCATCATTCTCACCAGTGTTTCTATATTGGTCAAAAGCTCTGTGTTGAAGTTTTGTTTTTTGTTTTTAATTTAAATTTTCCCACTCCTGAAAGCACATTCTTGCAAATATTTTATTTTCCTTTAGGAAAATACATTTATGTACATTGTTACAGGGAGCAGAGAAAAAGGACAGTGTTTATCCCGTATCAGTGAATTCTTAAATAGGAATAATAATCCTTTTCCGGGTAACTTTTCTTTTAGAAAAGGCCTGTCTATGAATTAATAATTAGGGGGTTGTTAGTAGATATTATTTTTGCTCAATATAAGAGAGTAGAGAGATTATACTTGGAGCAGTTGCCCAGTAATGTCCTTAGCTCAGCTGTGGCTCCCAGGGCCCAGATGAGTCATGCTGCTGTGCTATTGTCTGAACAGCTTTAAACAATAACAGTTGTATGTAGGAAGATAGGGAAGGAAGGCCACGTGGTATTTTATGAAGATACTCTGTGAAGATGTATTTCGCTGGATGAAATATATTTATGAAGATATATTATTATAGTGGCAGCTCACGCCGTCGGGATTACTATGACAGAGGATATGATCGAGGCTATGATGATCGAGACTACTACAGCAGATCATACAGGTAAGTTAACCATAGTAGATTTAAGTTGCCAAAAATTTGAAGGGAGGTACCAGTCTCTTCTCCTGAATCCTAATTTAAGGCACGGACCTTAAAAACACTAAACTTTAGTGTTTAATAATCTTTTTTATACTAAGAAACGTAGGGCTAGAGTTAAAACTATAGATTTTTAGGTTATGTGTCTAGTCAGTTTAACTTAATATGTGTATTTTTTTTAAAAAACGTCAAGTTGTAAACCAACTGAAATCCCTGATTTTGAACATGGCAGTGGAACCAAAATTACAGACTATACTTCAGTTTTTTCACTCCTTTGTGCTTGTTCTTAAGTTCCATAAGCTGCATTTTTGAAGTCATTGCTTTATAAAGCATTTTTGGTGTCTAATGTATGATGCTCTCTAGATAGGGAAAACTAAGTCTTGGAAGAGTCCAAAGAAATATTTGTTGAAGGGCAATAATTTGGTATAAGAATGGCTAAAGGTTTTTTTATTACCAAAAAATTGAACCTTTTTGGGGGTGATTAATAGGGAAATAACTGTCATGCTGAGAAACACTTTGGAAGATAAAATGAAGTAAAATCTTTATTTTACCTGCAGCGGGTAATTTAGACCCTGTCTTGCTTATGAAAATGTAAATTGTATGATTAATCCTTGGTGCCTTACTGAGGTGTGGTTGTCTTTTTTTTTTTTTTTTGTACACTGTTTTGAATGTTTAAAGAAGTTGATTGTCAACTACCGACTGTGGAAGTGAGTCCTTAAGCTTGCTTTTGATACTATGGTCCAGCATTTTATCCCCAACAAAAACCTTTTTTGAAAGAACATTTGTGTGTTAATTGGCACTCTTAGGGATTAATCTGTGGAGGCTGGGAAGATTAAACATTCAGGTTTAAATCAGTTGAGCATTTACTTTAGAAGTGTAATTTGTTCTGTTACTCATTTTAGCCACCAGAGAGAGCTCTATGCCATTTTGTAAAAAGGGTGACAAAAGTTAGGGCTTTAATCACTTTACTTACAAAAATGACCTTTCATTTCTCCGTGGGAGTTTTAATTATACTGCATAAATATTGTTTTTAAAACTTTAAAAAAATGAATGTGTGTTGCTTTTCTGCCTTCACAGAGGAGGAGGTGGAGGAGGAGGAGGATGGAGAGCTGCTCAAGACAGGGATCAGATTTACAGGTATGGCAGGAGAGGATTTTAAATGTACATGGTACACAGTAGAATGGCTTACCTAAAGACACTTGGTTACTAGTATTTGGGGGGTTATTAAAAGTTGGATCACACAAATTGGATTGCATGAAATTCATAAAATACTGCAACTGAAACCAGTAATAGTGTGTATACATGGCTTCGTTTGTGTGTTTACAGAAATGAATTGGGCTTATACTAGGTAATTACTCAATGGCCCCATTTTGTACCTTAATCGATGATAGTGTAAATTAAGGTCAGTGATAAGCATCCATAATATTCTTAGTCTTTATTCCTTACTGCTATTTTCTGGTACTATTGCATTTTTGTTAGCTTTTAACGAGCATCTTAGTAAGCAAGTGAATATTCAAGTCAGTCTTAGAAAACTGCTTTGAAGCACTAGTAAAATTTGTTTTGGGTGTTCATGAAGGTGTGCTTGGGATTAGTGGTTTTATTATCTAAAACAGACTTTGGAAATACCATGACTATTGCAATCCTTATATATCATTTAGTCTAACTTCAGTCTATGGAGTCTTAGATGGTCTTGGCATTTGTTTACAGAAGGCGGTCACCTTCTCCTTATTATAGTCGTGGAGGATACAGATCACGTTCTAGATCTCGATCATACTCACCTCGTAAGTTTCTAACTTGATACGATTTTATGTATTATAATAGTATGGCTTGAAGTTATCAAACTACAGTAGATAGTGGGTTAATTCAAGTAGTTTTATCTATATTATAATCCACCCACCCACCCTTGGTTTTTGTATGTACGGTTCAAGGAAGTATATGAAAATCCTTGGAATCTTACTCTTGCTAATTAAAATAGTAAATGTATAATACATTCTGGTTACCATTTGTAACTTTCTTTTCAGGAGGGCTTGCAGTTTATGTACAGCCTGGAAACATTTGGGTGACTTTAAAACCTTAGCTCCTGGGGGTTGAGTTATACTTCCCAGCTATTTCTTTTGTTCAGTGTTGGTTCTTTGATTCCTAGGGGAACCCTTTTCATAGGAGAGAATCTGGTGCATAGAATTTTCTAATGGTAGAATAAAAAGTCTGAACATTAAAGTATACTTGATAAATATGCTTCAATACTGAGAGACTGATTTTTATTTCCTCCTAGGTCGCTATTAAAGCATGAAGTTGAAGACTTTCTGAAACCTACCCTAGAGTTGGGATATTGTTTGTGGACAATATTTTTTATTGTCTCCTGTTTAAAAAGTGAACAGTGCCTAGTGAAGTTAGGTGACTTTTACACCTTTTATGATGACTACTTTTGGTGGAGTTGAAATGCTGTTTTCATTCTGCATTTGTGTAGTTCGGTGCTTTGTTCAAAGTTAAGTGTTTTCAGAAAAGTATGTTTTGCATGTATTTTTTTACAGTCTAAATTTTGACTGCTGAGAAGTTTCTATTGTACAAAACTTCATTTAAAAGGTTTTTCTACTGAATCCAGGGTATTCTGAAGATCGAAGCCTGTGTGTAAAATGCTACCAAATGGTAAAAAGCAACAATAAAGTTTGGTTTTTACTTTTCTTTCTAACATCAATGCTTAGCAAAACTGTTCAGATTAGGTTGTGTCAGTAGTAAATTTCAAGACAAAAATACCCATTTTCCTCCAATCCATGAAACATATTATACTTAATATACCTGCAACTAAGTGTTAAAAATTATGCTCTGTAACCCTGTACTGCTAGTACTAGAACTAAAGAACTTTCAATACAGCCAATGCTTAATGCTTATATAAATGTGGATTTGTCAGCCTTTATGTAATCTGTATCATATAAAGCAGGGGATAAGAAAAGAGGTACGCGATGTATGCCTTTAAAAGGCTATTTCTTAAAGCTGTTACAAGGGGATAATGGTATTTCAACTAGTTATCAGCAAGTGACAATACATTCCACCACAAATGTACTCTTGTTCTTCTAGCTTTTAGACTATGGAAAAAATTAAGTGCTTCAGAGTTCGGGAAAAGAGAAAGGGAACACTACACCTGTGTTGTGGATGAACCGAAGACTTTGCCTGTTCATTTTTTAAATATTATTTTCAGGTCCTTTGCTTACCAAAGGAAGCCCAATTTCACTCAAATGTTTTGAGAACTGTGTTTAAATAAATGCAAATGAAAAGAGTAAAAGGCTGGTACAACTCAGTTGACATAGAAGATTTTGTTTTAACCTTGTTACTTATAATTGGAGGGTATTTTAAAGTAGTTTTTAGTCCCTTGTACAGTATCCCTTAGGCTGAAATGTATTCTTTTTGCCTTTTTTTTTTTAATAGATAAATTGTACATTCCTGGAAAATACATTTAAGAGGGGAGTTAGGTACTTGAGTGATTGTCATTTGGATGATGTTAGTTATATTAAATAAGTCTAGTCTCCACACTTGCCCAGAGGGTGGCCAATTCAGTGGAAAATGCAATAGGCAGGTAATTTATCAAAATCATTTAGTATGTCCCAGGTATCTGTAAAACAGTTTATTTAGTCTATAGCAGCCATGAGATTAACTTACCTTAAGTTAACACAACTATTAAATGGTAATCCATATGTGGGCAGATGTCCAGCCACAGTCTGTACTTTCATTCATGATGCCATTCTGCCATACTCTAGATAACAAGATGAATAAAAAAAGCGGGGGTCATGGGGTGCCTGGCTGGCTCCGTTGGTAGAACATGCAACTCTTGATCTCAGGGTAGTGAGTTGAAGCCCCATGTTGGGTGTGGAGCCTACTTGAAATATATATATATGTATATATATATTTCATAGGCAATATTTGCAGGCCTTAATTTGTCCCACTGGGTGGTATCTCTCATACTTTGGAAACTGTCAAATGGATTTTAAAATTCTGCATGTTTGTGTTTCTGAATAGCACCTGGAACTAACTTTGTTTCAAATTTATTGTCAGCCAGTTTGAGAGGAAGATTTGGCCCCTCAGATGGTTGTAGAATATGGTCCAGAAGGGGCTGGATTATAATTTTGTAGTGGTAAGAGTGTACCTGAAGAAACATACCACTTACAGGCTGTCCTGCTAGGGGAAAGGGTAGACCAGCACCAAAGCAGTGGGTGTGAGAACTGTGGGCATCCAGTGCAGGTCTCACTGAATGAGGTCCCCTACACAAATACCTAACCTCTTACTGCATTACAGTATATGGAGTAAGAAATAGATTGCCCAGCCCTCTAATTGGCCTCAGGTCTAGAGCAACTTCAGAAACCAACCATGCCTAATTGATGCATCCCAGAAGGTGTTGGCTTGCAGTTAATTCATGTAAGCCACCCATTATCCTGCCAATAAAGTGGGTTTTTTTTAAAGCTAGCGATCAGTTGGGCTTTTGGATCTGGAAGCATTTTGACTTCTAAATTGCTACCAGGAGTGTATTACAGGCAGCAGACCTTGAAGAAAATTTAGAACTTACCGGGTTTGATGGGTGGAGACTCCTTTCCTATTCTGGGAGAGGAAACAAGTAGTCTAGTCTGTTCATGTGCCTCTGATGGTGGTCATCTGGTGAGTCCCTTGGGTTAACTGTTGGCATACACCAATTTAAAGAGACAATGTCAGAACCATAGGAGAGCCATTGGATAACTTAGGGATCGGATAAATTAAATCTTGAAATTCTTGCCTCAAGGCAAAAGAACCCAGGTTTTTAAATGCCAGTACTAACAATACATTGTTTACCACTGCAGGCCTGAGATGATTGAAACCAAATGCAAGGTTGATTTGGAGGACTGCTGAATTAAAATAGTTAAAATTCATAATCTTACTAGGGTCTTGTGAAAGCACCCATTATTCAGGAAATGTCAGATCCCAACAATTGGCGTAAGTTTTTGTTTCTTGTTGTTCTTTTTTGGAGGCCTTTGAGAACCCCAAGCCCTCCAAAATGGTCTTTAGTTGCTTCCCTTGCATAAGGAAAGTATGCCTCAGGATAAAACTAACAATTCTCAACCCTCATTTCCTGCTAATCAGTATTTCAACTTGCAAAGGCTCAAGGGGAGAAATTATGAATTAGACTGGGAACAAAAGTTTCATCCAGAAGGTGAAATTTATTTACATTATCAAAATTAGGTAAATTTTACAGGGAAGGATTTACTGATGAGTGCACACCCACAGTTTTGCTTCAGACAACAGACAGATCTTGATTATATAACCAAAAAAACCCTGGATCTTGTGAACATAGGCCTGACACAATAGAGAATTCATAAGACATTCAATTTGAAGAAGAGGCCAGAAACCCCAAATAAGAACCACCTGTGCATATGAACTTTACCAGTTTTGCCAAGGGGTTGTGCAATCATTTGTGCACTTAACTATGTACAGTAGAAAAAAAATACCCAAACTTAACCAGAAATATTAGATACTGGCTTACAGTTAAACTAGTTCATGGGAACCAGGGACAGACACTATTGTGACCCAAAAAAAAGTTAAAACGGGCTTGGAACGAGGGGATGAAGAGGATTCTGTTTGAAATTCATTTTGTGGTAAGTCTGGGGGAACTCCGAATCATCCTGGGGGGAGGGGGGGAGGATCTCTTCCCCCTCCCCCCTGCAATCCTGTGCACGTTTTAACTAGTGTCCCCAACTAGGAGGATCCTCTTAACCTTGGGATAAAGGCCAAAGGGAAGCCATTTAGGACTTAATAAAAGTCATCCTGTCCCTGAGGATTACAGGGTAGTAGTGGTGACTGGCAAATCGTAGAGAATGCATACATTTTCCATTCACTTAACTCAGTTTTGCCAGTGTGTAGACCGGTGGACATTTTAAGTGGTGATTTTAAACATGGGTGCTAATTCAGATGAATTTTCCTCATTGGGACAAATAGGGCACTTAGTCCTTAAAATCTAAAAAGGTTTTTTCACCGTTCTGGTCAATATCAGAAGCAATATGCATTTGTGTGGGAAGGAGAGCAGTTCACCTTTTCATCTTAAAAAGTTTTGAATTCCCAAAGGTAGGCAAACTACACACACTGTACTAAATCTGGCTGGTTGGTTTCCAGTTTTTACAGCTATCACCATTCACTTAATGTATATGGCTGCCTTCACATTATAATGGCAGCATTGAGTAGTTGGGACAGATCATTTGACCCAGAAAACTGCAAATTGCTGACCTCTTAACAGGAAAATTTCTGCTTGCTGATTTTAAGTCCACAGGTAACTCATCCACCTCCCCATCCTACCTGAGCCTGATTTATAGGTGGCTCTCTACCTTCTGTGCTTCAGCTAGAATCAGACTGTTAAAGACCCATTCAGAAGACCCTGATGATTAACAGCAGTTTTCCCAGTGAGAACTAAGAGTACTGTATACCTCCACTGTCTTGGTCTAAAATTTAGATAAACTGAGTTCATGGGTATCTCCTAGACAGTGTCTTGTGACCTTAATATATGGCTAAGTAGGATAGGAGGGTTTTTTTAATTTGATTATCTATTCACTTAGGCTAAACGTTAACCACTTTGAAGAGCCTATCTTGCCAGTAATAACCAACCCTGAGCTCCAGTGTGAAATAATACTTGGAAGGAATTAATGCACTAGGTAGTTAGTTACATTGAGCTCCATTGTGAAGGGGACAGTAGTTTTAATTGCAAATAGAATGCTGGAATTGGATTTCTTGACATGCTAATATCTGCCACACAGCTTGGGTTTATTCAGGGTTCTTCAGAAAATGGAAAGTGTGTGTTAGACACTTTTAAATATAAACTATATAATTCACTTTACATTCTCACTACCGTATCTTAAACATGCCTTTAAAAATACTTTAGAAAACATCCATTTGAGAATTCTTAAGTCTTTAAAATATTTAGACTCGTTACCAGAAATTAATCTGTAAATTTCTATTCCCCCATTCTTAAGTTCTAAAATGGACTTCAGTCCTAAAGTTGTATGAACATTTACCCTTCTCCCGGCAAATAATGAAAATGCCTAAACCCTTAGTCTTAACCACAGTTAAGTATAATCATCCTAGAAGCATTTCAAATTCGATAGGTAAAACCACCACTGAAGTTTTAGAAAAATGAGTTACCTGGTATGAAGAGTCCTGCCTTTTTGTGCCTCTTAAAATTTAATTCAGTGCATCCACGGACAAGTAACACTGGGAATAGAGCATGACTATCTTCCATTATCCATTTCATTCATTACTCTGATACTCCCCACTATGATGTGATGATAGAATTACACCATAAATTTTGGCATTTAATAGGAAAACCATTGTTAGAATGAGTATTGAGCTCTAAGCGGTGAAGACCTGCCATCTGTTTTAACCTTATATTAGTTTAACATTACATATTCAACTTTTATAAATAACTTCCTCAGGGAAGACTACATTAGTATGACATTTGAGAGAAAAGAGGTGAAAGCCATATGTAAATCTGGGGAAAATACTGATGGACTTAAGTTCCTTGGTTTGTTCAAATCTAAGGCACACCAGGGAGGCCAATGTGAGTAAAAAAGATTAAGTGGGTAAGTAAAGAGCCATATCAATTTGTGATTTTTGTAGACACTAAGGAAAATTTGGGTTTTACGATGGCATGAAGAACCATTGGCGGTGTTGGGCAGAAGACTGAGCTGGTAACAAAAACTCAACTCTGGAGTGCCAATCAATGTGAATAGAATGAGGTCTTCATCCGTTGGGAAAGATACATAAGAGGTGATTTTGTTATAATGTAGAAGATCTGTTGGATACATATGGAGTGCTATGACATCCCAGTAGAGAGGCCCTGGCTAGGCTTGGGTCAGATGACAGTAATACTCCTGGGTTTATGATCATGTTTACAAAGTGTTTTGTAAGCCATAAGACCAGCATATAAATGTAAGAGAATTTTGAAAACCATACATATGAAGGTTGAGTGGTCACTCAGAATTTAGTAGACCAGTCTCTTCGACTGATGCACTCTCTGAAACATTTCTTGTTTCCGTAATTAAAACCTTACACTTGCCAACCGTTTCAGCCTTGTGGAGTTCCTTCAGGTAACCTCAATTGTATCTAGTCAGCTACTGCTGCATAATAAACCATAGAAACTCAGAGGCATACACTAAGTATTTAGCTGCTGATCTCAGCCAGGCTCCCATCTGCAGAACAGCTGGTGTTTGTTAATCTAGACTGCAGTGGCAGAAACAGGTTGGCTTCACACTGCAGGTGTGTGGGCCTGCTCCACTTCTCAGCCTCCTTGGAAAAGGGGGCAAGGCAGCACATGTTCCTCTCATGATGGCGGAAACACAAGATCAATCGCACAAGTACGTTTCAGGCTTCTGCTTGTCAACTTTCCAAGGTAAAAGCAAATCATGTGGCCAAGGAAAAAGCCACAGGATGAGGAAATACACGAAGTTAGTTGGAGGGATTGCAGAGGTACATGCCAAGGGCACAGATAAAACAGAAGGCTCAATAATTCAATTTGCCATACCAGGTTTTCCATTGCTCGTATTGGATGTGTCGTTTTCTTAGCTTCTCAGGAGACAAGATGTGTCTGGGATACCCATGAGTTTTGCTGGGAGACTACCTAACACCGAAGATGCAGAAAATCCTAGGTAAACCCACCCTTTTCTGCTTGTAGTGCATACGCCTGTGACTTAGGCTTGGTCAATCAGATGCATCCAAACTTGACATCAGTAACCAGTAACCCCAAGAAGTAAGGACAGTAGAAATTATTCAAGTGGACAGGGTGGCTAAGAGCGCCTCAAACGTGGGGAGGAGGGAAGGGGTGAAGCTGGGAGTGGGAGGTGCTTCTAGCTTCAGTAGCCAGATTGCTTGTGTATGTCAGCAGCAGTGGGGCGAGCTGTGGTTTGGCAGTGGCAATGACCACACTGAACTGACTGGGGTAACTGGCTGTTAAACTTCCTTCCAAGCCTGGTTCTCCCCCCTTCCTGCAGTCTGCAAACTACCAAATGGTTCTATTTAAAAAATAATAAAACAAGCTCCTCTTCTGCTTAAATCAGCTGGCATTTTCTATTTGTTACAACCAAGAGTTTTCACTGATAATACTCAGGTGTCAGTTGTGACACCTAATTGGTAGCCATCTTTAGTCTCAATTCCTATCCCTTTGAATCCTTTCTTCACTTAACAAAGTGGATGTCTTAAAATATGAATGGAAATCAGATCACATCACTCCTTTGCTTTGAAACGTGCCTCCCTCAAACCTTGTCACGACCTCATCACGTTGCCTGTCTGATGTGAAAAGAAAAAAATAATGAAATCTTTTGATGGCTTCCTGTTGCATTTAGACATAAATCCAAACTCTTAGTAGCCTGCCAGAACCTTCATTATTTAGCCAAGCCCCTAACCCACCAGGTCTCGCCAACCTCCTCTTGCAACTCACTGTCTTCTTTTGAATACCAGAAGCAGGAGCTTCCTCAGTTTTAGTAACATGCAGCAGGAGCTCCAACAGTAAGCCAGCCACTTGGGAAGAGAAGGAGAGAAGGGGAGGCAGGACTGGAGCAGGGGACAGGGGAACTCAAGCACTGTGAAGTTTACAGCGCCGAGACACAGACGCACTAAAAGACTGAGACCTAATCATAGGACTGGAGACCACTTTCTTCCACACCTGGCCACATTACTAAAGGCA